AGTGGCGAAGTGTGTATGTAACGTCACATTTGACGTAAATAGTTGTGAACTGTGTTCGCTGATTCCCGGCGTCTTTTGCGAATAACACTTGAGACGGGAACCAGCCAATGAACTGTGTCGTTCAACATGAATGGCCTAGAGGGGGCGATTTATAGAAAAGATGTATTGCACAACATTCTTAGCCTACATATAAAATTCGAATCAACATAATGTATTAATCAAGTTAAAAATGTATTCCATTGTGTGTATTTTCCGCAGATGCTGCCCCCAATCTACGCCGGTCGTACCACCAAAGATACTACTCCCCGCTTACTCGAACCTAGGATGAGAGTACAGACTTTACAAACTCGGTCATTGGATGCTGGGTATCCATGGGCAACCGATGTCAAGCCTGAAGCCGGCAAGTGGTCCGCTTACAGTAAGTTTGTAACAGGGGCATCATGATATATGCATATTCATTTAGTGTATGTGTGTGAGCTTGTTGTAAAGTACGTACTGTAACTTAGCATGTGCATGTTTGTTGTTAAATATTATTTTAGTTTATTTGTTCGTACTTCCGCTGTGTGATTCACTCACCTCATTGTGACCCCCTAACTCTGCGCTTGTCACGTGCTGTATTTTTTTCACATCGGGACATCGAGCAGTAGTAATTTATTCAGTCTGTTCGAGAATGGGAAGGGTACGCATCATGTATACAATGCCATGCAGGGTCATACGGCTTTCAATCAGTAAAATTGCAAAGAAACGTTGAGTTCAAATTTGCTTTAAAATTAAATTAACAAATACTGCCCAGCTAGGAAACTACTTTTAGACAGTCAGATTAGTAAGATCATAATTCATAATTTGAATTGCGTTGCGTAACCGTGAATGTGATTTCACTATGGATGTAGCGTATACTTTGTCTCGTCTTGAAAACTGCTAGTAAGTTAAACTATTTACGATAAATCCCATAGAATTTGCCCACGCTTACAGTGTTGTGTGAATTAACCCCGTGTTAATTTGTAAATACGTCCGTTTTTTCCCATCCTGACGCACCTCACAAATAAACATGGGAAGTACGATATCGCATGCACAATTGACAGACTTTGACTAACTTTACAGATGTTTCTGGGAGGAAACGAGATATAGTCAAATTACCAGTTGTGGTTAATGGCGTAGATGGCCAACCCGCACCGCCCAATGACGAACAAAACAGCATCGAAGGTATTCTTCAACGTATACAAACACAATTTTCAATCAGTCACAAGATCTAAGGTTCTAGGAGGTGTTAGATAATTGGGCACTTTTGGTGGTGAGCGGTCTTGTGGACACTTTCTTTCCATTCTGGGTATAACGCGAATCACGTGATCCGTGACGTACTCAGCATAACGCACCGTAAATAATTCCACGTATTTTCTTGCACCTCACTTCTGCTTGTAAATTACGCCTTGACTAATGACTGTTATAACTGCCTTGCTCTAGCATGTTATATAGTAACACTAACCAACAAAATGGTGATTGATTGAGTTACTCAACAAATAAGGTTACTTGTTTGATTTATTTTAACACGCTTAGCCTAACAAATACGGGAAACGCTCTTATCTGTCATCACTTACTAGTACTTCTGTTCATGATTGAATAAATATGCACGCTTCATCGGTATAATTCACCCTGGATCAACATCATTCTCGTTTGTCGTGTTACAGCAGCGAAGAATAAAAGAATAGATGAGATGCCAATGCAACAAAACGTCCGCTATTCGACAAGCGGCTGGAGGCGTAATTTGTACAACTCGCATGCAAAGCAAGGATTCAAATTCTGGATGGAGGAGAAAAAACCGTTCTCAAGTAAGGCATAGACCATTCTTTCTGATGGGGATGGGGCTGGGTTCTCGGCTAATTTAAAACAAATACATGTCATACAGACCATACTTCCGGGTTCAGCTTATTGCAATCCTTGAGTATATATACCCATGGAGGTAAATTATTACCTCCATGATATACCATGGAGGTAATAAGAACCATGATATACCATTGTACACATTTTATATACATAATGTAATGGCAGACCAATACTAATAAATGTAACTATGTTTTTTTTACCAGAATCATCGAAGTACACATTTGGAGCATATCGAACGTTTCTTGGGCTTGGCAACGCTCCACGGAATTAACCCGACTGTGTACAAGATCGGACTACTGCCTATTTTTTTATTAGCACACCAGATAGTCATTTAATAGTAATTTGTTCATGTATCCTAGTAACATAGCCGCTCGTTTCCGCGAATCACACACGACTCTGAAGTATGCCAGATTAGTGACGTACGTTGCTCATTTGCATATATTTGTGGAAGCGCGGACTGGAGACTGGG